TTCACATTAAATATATTTGCACAAAAATTAGGGGTAAATAGAGCAACCAAAAAGCAATAAACAGTTTGGATTTTTGGATTTTTTTTAAAATGTTTAAATATTTGTAGATAATTGTTTTGTCTCTCTCTTCCCACACAGGTTTTCTGGGGTCAGGAGCATTTGAACTGCTTAGTTCTTCTCCAGGAGCTTCTGCAGGAGTACCTCTCCAGAAACAGCAGTGCAAATTCCTCCATATCTGAGCCTACCTATCCCACCTGTTCTTCTGGAGAAAGGAATCAGGCCTCCAAAACTGAGCATACCTCAGATGATCTGAGAACAGGCATGTTCCAGTATATACAAGATGCAGGTAAGAACAAGACCATTATTAGTTTCTTGTTAATTTTGTTGATTGTAACATAAATAGATGAATAACCTATTAAGCATTAATTTCTTATTGCAATGAATTCTCTACTTTTCTGGGGAAAAAGTAATTGAAGAAACATCTGCTGGGATGAAAAAAATACCTTTTTTATTTCTTTCCATTAAGCTGCAATCTTTGAAAAATTGGGGAAATTGCTTTTTTATTTTCCCTCCTTTTGATACTGAGGGGTTTATTTTTAACCACTGTAGTCTTATAAACCAGCATGTTTCTTTTTAGAAATTACATAACAGATGATACCTTTCTTTCCTTTGACAGAAGCACAAAAGCTGCCCAGTGCCTATGAAGTTGTGTTTTACAATGAAACTGAGGACAGTCCAGGAATGATGTTATGGAGATATCCAGAACCCAGAGTGCTCACTCTTGTAAGAATTAACCCTGTTCCTTTCAATACGACTGAAGATCCAGATATTAGTACTGCTGACCTAGGAGATGTTCTTCAGGTGGGTAATGAGAGTTCTTGAGCGTAATTAACAAAAGAAAATGCTAAAATATTGTAAAGTAAATGTTTTAGAAGTTTTGGTTATAAAAAATGAGAACAAAACAAATGTCAGGAGCTCTATAAAATCACTAGGAGGTAAATTCTGCAGCTTGAGCACATCTTCAGTTTAAAACTACATGCGCAAACATCTTGACCACTCACCTGTAAATGTTTTTCCATGACTTAATAAGCTATCGTAAATGTCATCAGTCCTGGTTTGCAGGCATACATAGTTTTTATTTGTGGTTCATATTATTTCTTTAGATCTCATTTAATTCAACCTGAGTCATGTAAAACAAGATCTGCTCTGAAATTCCCAAGATACAGTGGAATCCATGAATTAAAGTCTCTAGCTCTACCATCCTCTTCTGTATCTATGATGGTGGATGGCTGGGCTTCTTCTGTTAGGATCCACAGTGCACAGAGGACCGGCAGAGACCGGCAAAGCGGCTGGGGTTGAAAGGGATCTAGGGATCTCTTTGGAGATCATCTGGACCTACACCCCTTCTCAAGCATGTTCAACCTAGGGCAAGGTGCTCTCGGCCCATCTCCAGCCGGTTTTGAACATCTTCAACCTCACTGGACAACCCGTGCCAGTGGCTCAAACCGCCCTCACAGTAAAAAGGTGTTTTCCTGTGTTCAGAAGGAATTTCCTGTGTTTGAGTTTGTGCCTATTGCCTCTTGTCCTGCACCACTGAGAAGAGCCTGACCCTGTCCTGTGACGCACTCCCGTCATGTATTTTTACACATGGGTCAGATTCCCCCTGAGCCTTCTCTTTGTCAGGCTGAACAGTTCTGGCTCCTGCAGCCTCTCATCACATGAGAGATGCTCCAGTCCCTTAATTATCTTTGCAGCCTCTTGCTGGGCTTATTACAGTCTTTTTGTGTCTCTCTGGTACTGGGGAGCCCAGCTCTGAACCCAGCACTTCCAGCTGGGCCTCTCCACTATTGAGTAAAAGGAAAAGATCATCTCCTTCAAGCTGCTGGCAAAGCTCTGCTGGTGGAGGTCCGCTTGCCCTCCTTGCCATGGGCTCATTGCTCATGGTCAGCTCTCAGTAGGACAGTCCAGGTTGGCTCTTTGAGAGCACAGAACTGTCCTTCAAAGGAGGGTTGAATTCAGCAGCTTTGTGCTGATGTGCCTCAAAACTAGGCCTATACCTAGTGACTGCATTGAGCTTTAGCTTTCCAGGTTTTGGCCCTCCAAAACACACAATTGCAGAGTTATATCCTCTTCTGTCTAGTAGAATTCATATTTATAAATCCACTTGTTCCTTGCATATCCGTTTCAACTTTTGTTCAATTTTAAGTTTTAGAGTCTTGTTTTTCTTTTTGTATGGCAAACTGAATCTTTTTTTTTTTCATTGGAATAAGCTTTTTAATCGGAGTAGTGTTACAAGTATCTCTTAATTCTTCCTACTTGTTCAGAAATATTAAATTATATTTCGTTATTACTATATATATTTAAATTGCTTTTAAAAATTGAATTATACACTAATATGCTTTATGTTATGGATAACTAGGATAATCTTCCTCGGGTAATTGGTATAATATTATTACAATGCACATAGTGTTAGTGAGATCCTGCAAAAGTCCTGCCAATTTCCTTGCCCTCTAGATAACTAAAATGGAAAAAAAATCTCTTTTTGGCCTGAGGTCTGAATCAAAAATGTGTTATTGTATGTTATTTTGAGGACCCTATTAGGTGTCTTTGAAAACCAGCGATTTTCCCACCTTCAGGACAATATTTTCAGAGCAGGGCACACCAAGTTTTTGGTAGAAGCACCTTAAGCTCCAATTATAGATAACAGGCATCATGCATGTAGAGTTGCATTTAATTTTATACACTGATTATGGGGAAACATTTTCATCAGCCTTGCTTTGACTTGGTAGTCAAGCCTACCTGTATAATTTCCCTTTTTGGTGATCTGAACTATGGCAGACTCTTCTTGAAAGTTTTAAAATCTGTCAATTTTGTGATGAATTTTTTGGAAGTCTTTGATTAATAATTTGGGCTTTCAGTTACAAGGGAAGAGAGTAAACATGTTACCTTAATTAGTGCATAAGGTCACATCTGTGATCAGAAACTCTGGTGTTGGGCACATGGAGCACCCAAATGCTGCAAAAGGATCCACGTTTTGGTAGCAGGTAACTATGGCAGTAGCTGTTGGCTACAGGCTGTGATTTGTCTCATGTTCCCAAAATGTCAATGTGTGTGCACAGAGCAGCCCTTGCACAGTGTAGATAACCAGCCATTTTAAACATGGACACGACTCAGGTTTTGATTAGTCCAACATAGATATTTGGATGGAAGAAATAATACAGAGCCCATTTTCAAATTCTTTACCTAAACTACCCTTACCAAATACTCATCTCAAACTTTCAATACTGACTGGAAACATCAGGAGGCCTTTGATCAGACATCAGTTTTCCTGTCATGGATGTACATCTGTCTCTTAATGTGCTGTGTATTTACTAAGTAGAGAAATAGAAAATGCCATTTTTAAGAGGGAAAATACACAAAATGAAAGCAAAAAAGAACAAAACAACATTTTAATTTACTTCTTGACATGAAACAGGAAAGGAACATCTGCAAGCCAAAGACTTCAGCTTTTTTGAAAAAAGAACTAAATTTAAAGACAATAATGATATCAAAGTATATTAAAAATGTATTTTTAAAGCTTTCCAAAGCTCATGGATATCTTCAAGTGCTAGGAGGATCCCGAATGCCACCAGCTGGGTTACCAGTCTCCTTTAATCCTTCACTTCACGTAAATCAAGGCCAAGGTGCACTTCTGTAACTTCTCTTGTGTTTAACAGATTAAAACTTTGGCCAGTTTCATGTTCTTTTGTTCCTGAGTAAATTGCTGTGACATTTCATCTAACTTTCCATCTTTGCTAAACTCCTTTTGGCATATCATTTTAATCATGAGTCGATGTTAGAAGTCTTTTTGTTTCTATAACTATTCTTCCAATTCTTGGAACTTGCAAAAGCTTCACCATAAAGAGAATTTTGCTAGTTATTAGAGTTGCATATCATCTGCGTGGCCAAAGGATAAGCTAACAGCTTCAGATTGTAAGAGGTGATATGAACTAAAACTTTCTATAAAACTTTACCTTACCGCTATTTCTAAATTGCCCCAAGAGTTTATCTTCTTGTATTCTTATTTCTGCTGTTGCAAGGGAGAACTGTTTCATTGGTCAGGTTTCTGATATTTTACTTTATTTTTTGCTTGCTTTTATGGAGGGAAAAGGAAGAAGAGATGTTTCTGCCATGCTGTTGCATATTAGTGTTTTCAAATAAAAATCTGGTCTTTCTGTTTGAAAGGAGAGAGAATCCCAGTCACAGTCACTAAAAACCTCCTCAGGAGTATATTTCTTTGAGGAGATTGAAATATCTGAATGATTCCCTGTTCCCTTGGCATTACAATCCCTTTCCATTTAATCTCTAATCCCTCATTGTCCCTTTTTCACACGCCACGAACATTATGTGGCTCTACATGATTTACTGTTCTTTCAGGTAACTAGTATTTGATGAAACACCTTTAGACTTCCATGATAGCTGTCCTTAATTTGTTAAGGAGTTCTTGTTCAATGACCTAAGGTATTTCTTATCCTGAGGTACTAAAACGACTATCTGGACCATGTCCAGACTTTTTTGACCTAGGGAACTGAAGACCTGAGGCACAAATGTAAATTAATCTCTCTCTTATATTAGTGATTCTTTGACAGGATGGGTTCTAATTTATCCACACAATTCCAAAATTTTTGCTTCTTAGTCTGCACTGAAAACAGAAGAAACTCCTTAAGCATCCTACAAATTAAATGTCAAAGTACAGTGGTAAGAAAATTGCCATGATTTCAGGTTGAAGTTGTGATCCGTGGCAGAATAAAGGAGCCAGGTTGGTTTTGTAGTTCACTAGCTTGCAAATAATTTTGACTAAAAACATTACATGGCTGGTAATTAGGAAAAAAAATCTAAATTAGTATAAAGGTATGTCACACATCATTATTAGGGGAAAATTGTCTCTTACAAAATTACTTTTGTAAATGCAAGAGAAGCAAAGACGCGTTTGGTTTAGGGCATCGTTGTTACATTTCTTATTATTCCCTGTGTTGGCATCATTGTCAAGATCTTTTTCGAGCCTACTTTCTTGTATAGTTTTAAAGTTTGTGTAGTAATTAAGGTGCATATTAAACAATATATATATTTCCAAATGTATTATTGATTAAAAAAGTATGCATGATGGCATTATTTTAGAAATACCATGAAGTCCCTCATCCTGTCCTCCTGGATCTATCTGCATCACTGTATATCATCTTTCCATAGGAACCTTGTTTCATTTCTTCATCTTATGAACTTCATAATATTCTTATAGTAGTAGTATATGGCTGTTGGATAAAGTCACATTGCAGTCTAGAGTGTAGAGAGCTTGGACAGGCAAATAGTTTGTTGAATCAAAGCTGGGCAATCAATGTTCCGTATCTTTGGAAAATCTTGATTTATAACAACATCTATCTAACACATGCCCATCTGGAAAAATACTCTTAGTGAAGGTAAACCATTGCTTCATTTACTAATATTTATTAAGTGTGTGTGTGTGTGTGTGTGTGTGTGTGCGTGCTTTTTACCAATGCATTTGGCTTTGTGCTGGAAGCATTTTCTTTCACTTAGCACAGCTGAGCCACTAGAATCATCAGGGCATGACCATTGTCTGCCTGTTTTTTGGGTTTTTTTTATATATATATCCTATTTCTTTCTATCCCAACATCTTTATTTACACTGTCATGATCACAGCTCAAGCCTGTGTCATGGCCCATCTTGCAGCTGTTACTTGGCTCCGCTAGTTCCATATTAACATTTGTCTTCATCCAGTTCTGAGATGTGCCATGCACGTAGTTTATATTTACCTCCACCCAGCTAATAGAACAACTTTTATTTTTCAGTTAGTTGCAATGGTTAGT